GTGTGTGTGTGTGTGTGTGTGTGTGTGTTTATATATATGGTCTTTGTGTCATTTTTTTTAACAAGGACATTATTATCTTTATGGATTCAGTCTGGGTATGCTAAAAGGTAGCCGGTATTTTAAGCCTTTTTGTAGGAAGTTCCAAGGACTACATCAAGTAATGTTCCAGAGACGTGCTCCACCGAATGGCCTCAACTCTGCAATCTCTATAAACATGACGCTAAGAACCATTAGCGCACCGTCGAACAACACCCATCACCGTCCATTTATTATAAATGTCAAGTGTGCACTGCGCAAGCACTCTGCCTTATGGGTTTTAGGTGAAGTTTTACTGAAGAGGACACACGAGTGACATGTCTCCTCACAACTCTTCTCCTTCACCTTCTTTTATTTAGGGCGAAAGCTTTTTGATCTGATAAGTCTACGACAACTAAAACCAATTAATTTATCAATTTGAAATGAATCTACCGACATTTATAATACATAAAATTCAAAGGAGAGATCAGCATACGCGGACAAGAGGAACAACGCTCCCGTTGAGAAACATGGCTGTTATTACGATTTAAAATTAATATTGCTATTTAAAAAATCATTACTGTTTTTGTAATTAGGCAGGGTTGATAGAATTATTATTATGTTTGCGAATGCGCTGAAAGTCAGACCTATATCCCCCCTGCCATTAAGTTATTATTATTATTATTATTATTATCATTTAATCATCATTAGGAGGCGGGCTAACCGAATTTTCGAAGTTTGCGGTCTTTCAAAGGTCTGTTTAGTATAATTTGCGGACTGCAGCATATTATCCCTTGAATGTTGTACCAGCAATATATTATGATCGCATTGTTTGCAAGCTTTTCTATACCCCTCTTTTCCCATGCCCACCTGCCAAAGAAACAAAACAACAAACAAACAAACATACTTACACATATCTAACCCCATACTACATCTCGCCTCACCACCTCCACGCCCCCCCCCCCCTTCCCCAATTCCACAATCCCAAAAATCTCACCACTACCAAAAACCCCATTCCCCCTCTTTGTCTTTAAACGTCACTATGTCTCTCGTCTGTTCTGTCGTTGTCATCTCCCTATCACGGCACAGTATACAAGTGTGGGTCGGGGCTGATGGCAGACAGCAACTCCAGGGTAGACGGTTCCAGTGTTGTCCGTGTCATGTGCAACGCCAGCGGCCTGTGGGAGATCATCGAAGGAGAGTCGAGCTCCCCCACGAAACAGTACAAATGTTCCCGTAAGAGAATTAACACTCATTATTGTGTGGCAAAGTGGGGATATCGGGCGCTTATAAAAAAAATAAGGAAATCGAAGGAACCTACCATTTTCCCCACCCGTTTGGCCATTTTTGTCTTCTTTTCTGTTTGTTTTGTATTGAGCTGAACACCCGTAATGTCCGTTTAACGACAAATTACTGCTTGGATTTTACTTTCACTTTTGATCCAAGGTAAAAACAAAAATTAATTAGCAGTGTCCAAGGACACTTCAGCAGAGGAAGTCACCTAACTTTGGTAGCCATTTTCTCAATAATTCTGCCTCTGACACTAGGCGACACCCACCTCCGTCAGTCGCAAATATACCAACTTCTTTACAAGATAGAAGGTTATTGCTATCACCAGATGCAAAAACAGGATCAAGATGATACCAATAATTTTATAATATGTCCAAAAAATGACGAGCGCACGATTCCACTCTGTCATGACACATTTGAATTTACTATCATGTCACTGTTCTTTCAGGCTTTCGTCAAATTTGGACTGGTCAAGTAATTGATTTTATCTTAAAGTGTGTTTTTTCTTCTTACTATCAATGAAAAATGACAATTTTTCATGAGACGAAGTCATAACGGGATAAGGTACAGCAAACTGATTGTCAACCTCTTTAAAAAAAATAAATAATTAAAACCCACACTCACGCACGCACACACACACACATACACACTCACAAAGACACACACACACATATGTGATGCAGCGTGGTGGAATCAGGCTCTCGTCAATTTTCAGGCACGTAGAGTTATTGGTATCATCTTAAAGCGTGTTCACTTGTCTTTATTTGGATGCAAAAAAATGTCCATTTATCTTGAATACAAGTGGAGATATTTGCGAATGAAGGAGGTGGGGGTTACCTGTTTTCAGAGGAAAAATTAGTGAGAAAATGCCCGCCAAAGATTGGTTATTTCCTAAGCTTAAGAGTCCGTTGTAACTGTAAATTTGTATTTTTTGTGCCTTTAATCAATGTTTTTCAGAACAATCCACACAGAAAATGGTTCTTTAAAGGGCATGAAAGGTGTTGGGCCATAAAACAAAAAATTTATGAAAATTCACAAACCTGCAGAAAAATGTAGGCTTCTTCAATTTGATTATTTTGACAAGAGCCTGATTCCACCACGCTGCCTCACATATACACATACACACTCACACAGACACTCACACACACTCACATACACACTCACACAGACACTCACACACACACATACACACTCACACACACACACACTCACACACACACACACATACACACACACACACTCACATACACACTCATACACACACATACACACACACATACACAAACATACA